TTTTTTATGTTTATTGATCTATGCAAGCTTTCTATATAGTTTTTCAGTAGCAGTGTATCCAGGAAACTTCCACTTGTGTCTCATGAGTCAGAACCATGGGTCCTACAGTCACTCCCCTTGTAATGGAGATTAAGAAAGTAACAGTGTACTATTTCAATCTCTATAGAGAAAAGCAACAAGGAAGAAAGAAGTGGAAATAATACTGGCATCTACCACAGTCTCTAGACAACATATTATTTGATCTTGTTCTGTCTTTGTTTATAATCCAATCAATGAGTTTAACTCATTTACATTTATTTAATTTCTAGTATATTAGGACAATTTCAACCATCTTATTTTGTGTTGACTATATTTATGATATAAAATTTTCTCTCTCTTTTCTACTTTCTACGCATGAATCAGATTGACTTCTATCAGACTGAAAGTGTATGTTCTCTTTTTATTCTTCTATTCTTCTACCATTGCTTCCCCTAACTTTTTGAGAACCATACTTAACTTTCATGATTAATGTCTTTCCATTAGCACTCACTCCTTGCTGGTCTCTACATCCCCTCCACATCACCCCCTCCCTGTCATGCTGGTATCACTTAGAATTGACTCATGATGGTCATAAGTCTTTTTTAAAATTTAGTATTTCTCTTAGAGGATAATAAATCTTTCTAACTTATTTACAAATCATTTCTCATGCCTCTTTGCTTCCTCCTATTGAGCAACCTGATGTCAATGTAATCCTTGTATTTGTACATGATCTGCTTTTTCTTTCTGTAAACATTCAGAATTTCCCCCTGTGTTGAGTGTTCTGAGAACTCTATGTTATGTGTCCTGCTTGAGTGTTTGTTTTGAGTCCATCTGTCCCATCTTGTATTCTGTCAACTTTTCAAATCCAAGTTCTTTCCTCTCTTTCTTTAATTCTATGAAATTCTTAGTAACTGTTTCCTCTTGTTCATATGATTTTTTTTTCTATCTGGCATTCTTATTTATAAATAAGCTCTACTAAGAGTCAAGCATTTTTCCAGGGGACAGGATTACAGCATGAAGCAAAACAAAACCATTATGGAAAATTAACACCAATACTCCTCAAATTATTCCATGAAATAGAAAAGGTGAGAACCCTTACAAACTCATTCTATGAGGCCAATATCACCCTAAACATTGGATATGAAATGGGAAAGGAAGACAGGAGTTAATGAAAATTCAAGGTCATGAGGTGGCTACAACCATTTCAGGCACTGATATCATCTCTTACATTTCTCTCTTAAGGGGTAAGAAAGTTTCCCAGAAACTACCCAGCAGGGTTCTCTTCCTGTTCCACTGGCCAGAATTGTGCCACATGACTGCCTACATCAATCACTGGCAACAGGACTAACTGATCTTAGACCAGTAGTTTTCAAAGAATAACCCAGAGACTCCTGTTAGCAGGTATGAGATAAAAATTAATAATAACAGCAAAACATTATTTGCCTTTTTCATGCTCATTTTTTCACGAGTTGACAATGGAGTTTTCCAGAGGCTGCATGATATTGATTATGTCATTGCTTGGACAGCTCAACATAGACTTGTGTATTGTTGTACTTTCTGTAATTCTGTAAGGGAAGTAAGTTTAGAGATTAACTCAGTTTGTTCTCAGTACTTCTACTGTGCTCTTAATAGCTAAAGTTAGACTTATATATGGATAACAAGTTAGATGTAGACTAACTTCTAACTTAGAAGCTAGACTGTGTGTGTGTGTGTGTGTGTGTGTGTGTATGTGTGTGTTTGTGTGTGTGCGTGTGCTGGGAATTGAACCCAGGGGTGTTTTACTGCTGAGTTACATCTCCGTCCTTTTTATTTTTTATTTTGAGACTCACTTGCTAAGTTGCCCAGGCTGGCCTCAAACTATCCAACTGTCTCAGCCTCCCAAGTAGCTGGGATTTCAGGTGTGTAACACCATGCCCAGCTTAGACTCGCTAACAATTTATAACCTCATTATCATTCAATAAACCACAACTTTGAAATCCCAGATTGTTCCTTGCACTTATAGAAACTCAAGAAACACAACTTGTAATCTTGTTTTGAAATATTACTTATTTTTTTTTAAAAAATTTATTTTTTAGTTGTAGTTGAAAAAAAACCAATATCTTTATTTTATTTATTTATTTTTATGGTGCTGAGGATCAAACCCAGGGCCTCACATATGCTAGGTGAGCACTCTACTACTGAGCCACAACCCCAGCCCCAGAAATATTATTTCTTAAATGTTCAAAAGCTTTTCTGGATTTTTAAATTGTATCTACACCCCCAAATTTTAATATTTTATTCTGAAATTTTATATTTAACATATATTTATTTATTCATTTATTTATTTATTACAAATTGTTAACTTAAAAACAATGATTAGAAGACATTTTCTCAACCTATCACCAAACCACCTAAATCCAAAGATACTGGAAAAGTGAAAAAGATATATCACAGAGTTTTCTGACTTATGGAAAAGATTAAGCTACTCTGAATAAATTGGGACAAACTGTAAAAAAAAAAAAAAAAGCAAAAATATAATGCAAGCAATCCACCCTCAACTTAATAAGTATCATCATCTTGTTTTGTCTTATGCATTAGAATATTTCTGAAGAGCACCATGGTGCCAAGGGCCCAGCCTAGGGAGGCAGCTACAGCAGTTAGGCACAAAATTTAATGGGAAATCATTCTAAGCTTTGTGTAAGTGCATGGTCAGCAGAGTGAGTGCTTCCTTAAATCTTGTACCCTAAGCACCTTACTTTCTGCACCACACCTAATGGGCCATTTAAGTTAGAGGATCATTTTCAGACCGATTTAAAGAAAAAGGAATTAAATGTTTTAACCATAAATATTATAAGCTTTTAAAAAGTCAAAAATAGTTTCTTACAGCTTTTCAAGCTAGAAATAAAAAGTCACAGAGCATTTTACAGAGTAAGTAATCAAACTGCATTAGCAGAGAGACTAATAAAATCTTATATAGTTGATACTGCTGAATGCCAGCTGAACCAAAACTCAGTAAAAAAAAATAATAATAATAACAGCACTGTCACTTCACAATGTTAAATTTGTCAAATTAAAGCAATATGTCAAATTAAAGATTGAGCTGCAGGAGCTGGGGTTGTGGTTCAGCGGTAGAGCACTCGCGTCACTGACACGTGTGCAGCCCTGGGTTCAAACCTCAGAACCACATAAAAATAAATAAATAAAATGCAGGTACTCAATGTAGTTGTTCCAACTACAACTAAAAAATAAATATTTTTTTAAAAGATTGAGCTGCAAACATGAAGACTAAGATAATCTCTCACTTTTGCCTTATAAATGGATGGATGTCTCTGGATCAGCTGCTTTGCTTATATTTGTCCCTATATTAGCCAACTTTCTGTTACTGTAACAAAATACCTGAAATAAATACTTTCTAAAGATCAATGGTTTATTTTGGCTTACAGTTCTGGAGCTCCCAGTCCAAGATCTGGTGGATCCACTGCTTTCCTGGGAGTTGGGGCAGCACATCATGGAAAGACATGTGATTCAGCAAAGCTGCTCATATCATGGCCAGGAAATGAAACAGAGAAGAGTAAGGGTGTGGGTCCCACTATTCCCTTCAAAGATGTGTCTCCAGTTCCCTGCAGACTTCCCACTAGGTTCCACCTCTTACAGGTTCCACCATCTCCTAACAGTCGCACAGACTGGGGACCAAGCCTTTGGCACATGGACCTTTGGGGAAACATCCTAGATACAAACTAGAGCAGTCCCATATCAGCACTAACTAATCATCAAAAAAGCTCTTCTTTTCTGTGAGCACTTAACTATAAACACATGTGATGCTGAATTATGTAAAGTGTTGAAGACTTTTTGGAATCTTATGGTTTACCTGGAATAATGGTGTTTGATGATGAAAAAGCAATCAATGGAGGTTAAACTGCTTAGGGCTTAGCATTCAGACAATGGCAGATTGCACTCCTTGTCATTGTGTGTGACACTGCCACACATAAGCAAAAGCTAAAGAAGATGATCCTGTGTGAGGAAATGAAAAGCATGCATAAAGCATGAGATCACAAAGTGCATCTGTTGCATAAAGTTTAATGGTTAGCTAAAAACAAAGCACTTCTACAGTTGTTTGAATTGCAAGCTAAACTAGCTGCTTTTACCAGAGAGCATCATTTTTACACACACACACACACACACACACAATTGACTAAAAGTTGTTATCCACACTCCACACTTGGATATTTAATAGAAATTTTCTTAAAAATAAACAAAGTGAACCTATCATTTCAAGGGAAAAAACTGACAGTGTTTGTGGCCAATAAGAAAATTAAAGCTTTCGAACAAAAATTTGAATTTTGGAAAACTTACATGTGATAGCTTCTTGTACCTTCACAGCTTCCCAATAAAGACTTTTGGCGGTGACATTAATAAACATGATTCTTTGTGTGTTGTATAATAAAATGGATTAGCATTTGAAAGATGTGCATGCTCAGCGAATCAACATTTTTCAAATGATCACAATGGATAGTAAATCCATCCAAAGTGCAATAGAAAATCCATCCACATCAACGGATTTTAATGTCTCAGGTTATAGAAAAGATATCATTTCAGACATCAAATTGCAACTAACTTTGAAGAAACTCCCAGGGCTGGGAATGTAGCTTAGTGGTCGAGCACTTGTATAGCATGCATAAGCCTTCCATCACCAGCACTGCCAAAAAAGAAAAAGGAAAAAAAGAAGCTACCACTTGTTGAGTTTATCATATCTATAATTTTCTGAAGATGTTGTTAAAAGGGCTATCCTCTCCTTTACAACTGGATATTCTCACAAGATTTTTTGTGTTAGAAAATCTCTTATAAAAATAGGTTATTTAATTTAGCATATAATGGGGCTGGTGTTATTTTTCAATCAACTAATAATTTTTTAATACTTAGATTTAATTTCTGATATAATAATATTGATTAACATGATACAAAACAAGAAAAGGCCTTTTGGGGAGAGTTCAATTTTTTCTTCACATCAGGTGGATAATATGCCCACATTGTAACAAGGTTTGAGGGAGGCACATCTCACAGGATGGTGTAAAAAAAACCATGATCATATTTATGAACCACAAAAGGATCAAGGGGACTTCAATATTTGTTTGTATGTTTGTTTGTTTTGCAGTACTTGGAATTGCACCCAGAACCTTGCTCATGCTAGGCAAGAACTCTACCATTTCCCCAACCTGGGACTTTGGTTTTTAAGAGTGTCCTGAGAACAAAGGATTTGAGAACCACTGGCTTACGTCCAGTCAGGATTCACCCTCTGAGACCAGAGATGGGTCAACTTTCCCGTGAAGCCCATGGCTGCCTCAATGTAAAGCAAGCTTGAAAAATCTCCAGATTCTCCAAGGAATGAGTATGGGTAAGTAGTGAGCACTCTATTACACAGCACAGTGAATTCTGGCCTGGCCAGGGACTCTTGGGACACTTCTAATCAGCAGCCATCACATTAAGCCCAGTCAGTACACATGTGGTAGATGGTTAGAGCAGGGCACAGGGGACCTTTCTCTTGAAGAATAGGGAGACTTTGTGAGGCATGAGCCATCTGCTCTGCAGTGCTTCATGGCCTTTTCTGCAAATGGGCAGTCCACTGGCCGTGCAGACCCTTCTGGATGAAGTGAACCATTCTGACTCTCCTTAAAACCCACCCCCAGCTCATTTTTCTACCATATTTACAAAATAAAAAGTCACAACTGACAATTTAATTCCCCAGCCTAAACATACTAACATCACCTATCTGTTCAAAACACTGAAAATTCCAGTTCATACAGAATAGATGTCCACATTGTGGCCCCAGCTTGTCTTCCCAGACTTCCTGAATAAGTTAACTGAGTCATTAAGAGAATGCACTCTGGAGCCAGGCTGTCCAGGTTCAAGACCCAGTTCTACCAACCACCTAACAACTGAATGACCAGAACAGTGGTTTGCTGGTGAATGTTTAACACCTGGCTCTCTGGGTGGGTTTTGAGTCCTTATTCATAGCATTTGCCAATTTACACAGTGTAAATATTTCCACCATGGCCAGTTTTGAGCCACCAGTGTGATATCTCTAAATTCAGAGTTGACAATTGGCTCTCAAGGACCAATGCAACCTGTCTCCAGTACCCAATGGACTTTGAGCAAGTTACCTATTCACCTGGCATGGCTTCCTCATCCCTAAAGTGGGGATAATGAGTGTCTTGCTATGACATTGTTATAAGAATCTAGTTGCATGAGGTAGTGGTTCTCAAGCTTGTGTGTGCATCAGATTCATCTGGAGGGCTTGTTAAAACACCACATGCTGGGCCCCTCTCCCAGAGATTTTGATGGATTGAGTCTGGGTGGGACTCAAAGATTTGTATTTTTAACAAGTTCCCAAACAACGATATATTGAGAATCACTAGTGGAGCAGCTATAAAAGGCTTAGCTCTGTGCCTAGCACAGAGATGCCCAATATATGTTGGCCCTCATTTATATGATGCTTCTAGACCCATCCCACATGGGCTGTGCTAAGCCTCTTGATATTCCCTAACCTGCACTGTACCTCTCTATCTCTACACATTTGTTCCACTCTTCTCTCTGCACCTCTAATCCTCCTACTGAATTTTCCACTGAAATTCTAAATCAGCTTAAATTCTGTCTTCTCCCTGGGGAATGAAATAGAGCAAATTATACTAGGTGTATAAATGAATATACCGTAATGTATTCCAATTGTATATGTAACTATAATGCATCAATTAAAATTAATTAGAAGACCAATAGAGTAAAGAAAGGGAATGGGGGAGGGAGGAGGGAAGGGGAAGGAATAGTTCTGAGAATTGAAATGGAAAAAAGTGTTACATGCATTTAAATATATGTCAGAATGAATCCCACTATCATATATAATGCAATAAAAACTAAATTTAAAAATGACAAAATAAAACCCATCTCCTTCTGAAAGAACCTTCTTGAATCTTATAATTACAGTGAATTATTCCTAATCTGTTCTTTCTTAAATTTGCAGTCACTCTAATTATCATCAAAGTTTATTGCACATTGAAATGATTGCCTCCATATCTGCCGCGTTAATGTAAGTTCTTGGTATACACAATAATGTCACATCCATCCCTGTCACCCTAGCCTAGCACCTTCTGTGCAGAAGGAGCTTCATTAGCAATGATTATTTTCAGTCATTTCGCAGGGATATATGGGGCAAGGATATATGACCCATTCCCAAACTGCAGGCCTACTCATGTCTTGCAGGGTTGGACCAAGGGGGCTCAGCAGTCATCCTCTGGGGCTAAATTTATGACACATGCATAGAAAACAAATTAAGTTGAGGGTAAACAAAAATTTCAGCAAGAAAATGAAATATTGTCCCAGCTGTGGAGCACATTCACATAGTCATAGTGGGGCTAGATGTTGACTCATTCAGATATGACTCTATGGGGAAGAGGAAAGGGATAGAAAGTGTGAGCATATTGGGAGGCTTTGGGGAATGAGAACTGAGTCTTCATTCCAACACAGTGAGACGTCAGAGACAAAGCCTAAAAGTTCAAAAACAAGATGCATCACTATGTACAAGTCATTTAAGGTTATGGAGATAAATTCCAAGCAAAAAAGAGAAGAGTTGAAGAGGTTGCTTCTGGAGGGCAACAAATGAAGAAGGACAGGGTCTTATTTTAGAGGAAAGATATTAAGTCTTACAGAATAACTGATTCTTAAAATTCCATCCACATACACATACCTGTGAAAAAAAGACAAAATTTAAATATTTTTGAAAAAAATGAAGAGGAGGTATTTATTACAAAACTATAGTAATGAGAACAGCATGGTACTGGCATAAAGATAGATAGACATATAGACCAATGGAATAAGATAGAAATCCCAGGAAATAAACCCTCAAATACATGGTAAATTATTTTTCAACAAGGGTGCCAAGGTCAATCAGTGGGGAAAGAACAGTCTCTTAACAGATGGTGCTGAGAAAAATTACAGACAAAGGAATGAAGTTAGACCTCACAAAATAGACAATGAACCTAAACCTAACACCTGAAACTACAAAACTCTTAGAAGATAAAATAGAGAGAACCCTTCAAGATACTGGATTGGGCAAGGATTTCCTGGATATGACACCAAAAGCATTGGCATCAAAAGTAAAAACAGACAAATTAGACTACATCAAAAGTTAGCACTTCTGGCATCAAAGGATACAATCAACAGAGTGAAAAGGCGACCTAGAGAATGGGATAAAATATTTGCAAATCATATATCTGATAAGGGACTATTATCCAGAGTATATAAAGAACTTCCACAACTCAACAACAAAAAGAACCCAATTTTTAAAAATGGGCAAAATACTGAAATAGATATTTATTCAAAAAATTATACACAAACAACCAACCCCATCATTATGTATAATTATAATGCACCAACAAAATAGTAAGGCAAAAAGTGGCCAACAGGCTTATGAGACAACAGATGCTCAAATCACTAATCACTAGGGAAGTGCAAATCAAAACACTGAAGTATTACCTCACACTCATTAGGGTGGTTACTATTGAAAGAAGGAGGAGGAGGGGGAGAAAAAGAAGTAGAAGAAGGAGGAGCAGGAGGATGAGGAGGAGGCAATGAGTGTTAACCAGGTGTGGTGGTGCACACCTGTAATCTCAACTACTCTAAAGGCTGAGGCAGGAGGATTGCAAATTCAAGGCTAGCCTGGGCAATTTAGTGATTCCCTGCCTCAAAATAAAAATCTAAAAAGAGATCAGTGGTAGATGCTTTCCTAGCATGTGTGAGGCCCTGGTTTCAATCCCTGGCACTGGAAAAAAATTATAAACAAGGAAAAAGGAAATAGTTAAGTGTTGGCAAAGATGTAGAGAAATTGGAAGCCTGGTGCAGTGTTGGTGAGAATGTAAAATGTTGCAGCTGCTATAGAAAACAATGTAATGGGGCCTGGAGTTGTGGCTCAATGGTAAAGCCTGGCATGTGTGAGGCCCTGGGTTTGATCCTCAGCACCGCATAAAAATAAATAAATAAAATAAAAGCTCCATTTAAAACTAAAAAAGATTTTTTAAAAAATAAAATAAAAATAGAATTACCATATGGTCCACCAGCTCCATTTCTGGTCATGTATCCAAATGAATCAAAAGCAGAATCTCAAAGACATGGTCATGTCCACAACAGCACTATTCATATTAGTCAAGACGTGGAAGCAACTCAAGTGTCTATTGACAGAACAATAAATGAACACAATGTAGTACATACATATGATGAAATATTATTCAGTCTTAAAAGGGAAGGAAATTCTGACACAGGTTACAACATAAATCAACCTTGCTAAGTGAAATAAGCCAGTTATACAAAGACAAATGCTGTCTGTTTCTACTTAGATGAGGCACCTAAAACAGGTCAAATCATAGAGACAGACAGTAGAGTGGTGAGGGCCTGGGGGAGAGAGAATGGGGAGATGGTGCTTATGGGTACAGAATTTCGTTTGTGCAAGATGTTCTGGAGATGGATGATGGAGATTATTGCACACGATGTGAATGTACTTAATGCTACTAACCTATATATTCAGAAATGGTTAAGATGACACAAATGTTATGCTAGTGTTTCTCACCACAATTTAAAAAAAACAAAAGGACAAAGAGGCAGTCAGATATCTATACTTAAGCTCAAAAGAAAATTCTAGCCTAGAGATGAACTATGTGTAATACCTAGGACTCATAGTCATTTTTAGGACCCCAGATGTAAATACTTTTGAACAGAAAGATAAAGGCACCTACAACTCAACTTGGGGAATGTTTCTGTTCAATGGCTTGTGAGTGGCAAGTGAGTCTACGAAGAGCCTAAGGAAGGCAGGCAGAGAGAAGGAAACCAAAAGGGAGTCAAGGGAGGGGAGCATTTGAGCAAGAGCATGGCCAGCTGTGCCCCCTTGCAGTTGAGAGGTCAAGAGGCAAACAAAATCCATCAGATTTCACAATTCGGAAAGTTACAGATAACATCCACCAATGCTGCTCCAATGGATTGAGAGATGTGAACGCCAGTAGTGGCTGAATATACAGGAGAAAAGCACCCATCCCTGTGAGGTTCTGAGAGGATGTGGAGGGAAGGCACC